TTTCACCTATAACGCGGTAAGATTTTTTGGCTCCCGAGGACAGCGTTCTATCGAGGTAGAGGTGTATATTATTTACATTAAGATAAAACTATAAAACAAATCCAACTAATATTCAAATTAAATAAATTAAGAAAACAGGAAACTAAACAGTTATATGGAGATATACCTATCTCATAGAACTGGAAGGGACCCCGAAAGGTCATCAAGTCCAGCCCCCTGCCTTCACCAGCAGGACCAAGTATGGATTTTGCCCAAGATCCCTAAATGGCCCCCTCAAGGATTGAACTCACAACCCTGGGTTTAGCAGGCCAATGTTCAAACCACTGAGCTGTCCCTCCCATATACTAACCAAATCATGGGCCAGATCATCCCCTCCAATAGTAGTACCCCCAGGAGAGCTCCCCGTTAGGATGTCTCTGCAGTCATTCCCCTACAGAGACCTTCACACTGGCTCTAGTCCCCCAACAGCTTCCCTGCACATGGCTCTGTGTTGGCGCAGCTCCACTGCAGCCAAGCTATGTTAGCTGCAGCTACCGTTGGGACCCACAGAGTGGGCATTTCCCCCTGCAAGGTACTACAGCTCCAGGCTGGACTGACTTTTCTGACCCATCTCTGCAATGTGGTCCAGCCAATCTCTACTCCCTCCCCACCATATGAGTTCAGACCCACGGATCACCCTTCATAGTATCCAGGAACAAATTGTGTTCTGGAGGTGGCTGAGACTCTTTTTTGTGTAGGCGTGGGCAGACCCATATGTGAAAAGTCTTCCAAGGTGACATCTAGAGAATACGATCTAAGCCTATTTTGGCTGCAACATTCGATCCTACAGGGCAATGGAGGGTGACCCTAAAGACTCAATCTGTAAAGCACTTGGCGATAATACAGCATGAAAGGCGTTATATACACAATAATTACTGCCACTCTGCAAAATTAACACGTTTCAAACAATTAAACATTCAATAATATAACCAGATACTTTTCAAGCCTGAGACAAATACCTTCCACATACTCCATAACCATGCAGAGGTGGCGTTTGGTCTCGAAGGAGCAGAACATACTGACTACAAAGGGGTTCTCAGCAAAGGTCAGGATGTCTCTCTCCACGAAGGCCTGCTGGATCTGGTTTCTCAAAATTAGGTTCTGTTTGTTGATCTTCTTCATGGCAAAGCGCTGGCGAGTAGTCTTGTGCCGCACCAAATACACAGCCCTAGAACACAACAAAAGGGTTCCTACCTTCAGTTTGGACCATTTCAAAAACAATGGATTGCAGGTCATTACATCACATACACTGATAGGCTCCTGCTAGGTTTATCTATGGCTACATAAAACATCTGTCATGTCAAGCGTCGCTACAGAAGAAGAAATCTCTCTATGCTTTTCCTCAGAGTAAGAAACGGGGAAGGCTACTCTTCACAGGCTTCTCCAAATACGTAACATTCTCAGCAGAGAGACTAGCTCAGCCTTAACCAAGGAAAGCTCTTGCAACTTTATGAGATTCTTGCATTCTAAAATTAAAATTGCAATTCCTCCATCAGAAATAAGACTAGGGCCCTGTGAGATTACACCAGAAACCACACACTCCTGTAGCATTTTTGAATGTCCAGACAATAAATGAAAAATGTAGCACACAATCTTGGGTATATGTAGAGGCACATACTTGTAATAAATATTGAAATGATGAACATCACCAGTCAACTGAAAAATGACCTAAAATGAATGGGATCAGTGCAACTTCCTTCCAAGCTCCACAAATTAAAGAGTTTGATTAGCTGTAACAACATGATGCTGCAAGATTTCCTGTGGTAAAATATCCTTTTCATTTCTACCATTTGCACATCTTTGTCCGCACATTCATAGTACAGTTTGCAAATAAGGTTTTCATTCAGTTAGCTTGCTCTACTGAATCAATACTTACTCCCCTGTCTCTGGAGTGGCTTATTGGATTCTATTTAACATAGTATCATATCAGCTGGATAAAGTATGTAGTACATATAGCAAGGATATGACTTTGAGCAAACCACCTCTAGCCTTTTAGGGAATGTCTACACTACAATTAGACACCTACGGCTGGCCCGTGCCAGCTGACTCGGGCTTACGGGGCTTGGGCGAAGGGGCTGTTTCATTGCAGTGTAGGTGTTCAGGCTCAGGCTGCAGCCCAAGTTCTGGGACCCTTCTACCTTGCAGGGTCGAAGAGCCCAGGCTCCAGCCCGAACATCTATACAGCCCTTTAGCCTGAGCTAGCTGGCATGGGCCAGCCACAGGGGTCTAAACTGCAGTGTAAACATACCTTTAGAAGGATGTACTAGAAAACATGGGTCTACATAGAAAGAGTGACTGTAAAAATGGCACTTTCTTATCTAACAAACTGGCTCTCCGATCTGCTCTCCCCTTTTTACTTTACTGACTAAAATACGTTTTTATTACATTTTCATTTAATTCAACAAAGCGCTCCAGCACGTGCTTAACTTTAAGCACAGTGCTTAAGTCCCATTGAAATCAATGGGGCAGCACAGGTATACCTGAGGGTAGAATTTGGCCTGCGGAATATCACTGGTTATGATGTCACAGCCAGAAAGAACCCAAAGGGCGTTTCAGAGATTCACAGATTCCAAGGCCAGAAGGGACCAAGATCATCTCATCTGATCTCCTCTATAACGCAGGCCAGAGAACTTCCCCACAATAATTCCTAGAGCAGATCTTTTAGAAAAACATCCAATCTTAATTTAAAAATTGCCGGTGATAGAGAATCCACCACAACTCTTGGTCCGTTGTTCAAATGGTTAATTACTCACACCTTTGACAAATTACACCTTGTTTCTAGCCTGAAACTTCCAGCCAGTGGATCGTGTTATACATTTGTCTGCTAGACTGAAGAGTCTATTATTAAACATTTGTTTCCCATGTAGGTTTTTGGACTAATCAATCACCTCTTAACCTTCTCTTTGTTAAGCTAAATAGACTGAGCTCCTATAAAGCATGTTTTCTAGTCCTTTGATCATTCTCATGGCTCTTCTCTAACCCTCTCAAATTTATCAACATCCTTCTTCAATTGTGGACACCAGAACTGGAACCAGTTTTCCAGCAGTGATCTCACCAGTGCCAAATACAAAAGTAAAATAACCCCTCTACTCCTATGCAAGACTCTCCTGTTTATTTATCCAAGGATCGCAACAGAGTCACACTGGGAGCTCCTATTCAGCTGATTATCCACCATGACCATCAAATCTTTTTCAGAGTTACTGCTTCCCAGGATAGTCACCCATCCTGTAAGTATGGCCTACATTCTTTATTCCTAGATGTACACATTTACATTTGGACATATTAAAACATTGTTTGCTTGCCCCCTGCTTACCAAGAAATCCAGCTCACTTTATCAGTGACCTGTCCTCTTCATTATATACCACTCCCCCAATCTGTGTGTGATTAGCAAACTTTATTAGTGATGATTTTATGTCTTCTTACGGGTCAATAATAAAAATGTTAAATAGCGCCGGGCCAATGACCTATTCCTGTGGGATCCCACTAGAAACACACATTTGATGATGATTCCCCCTTTACAATTACATTTTGAGACCTATCAGTTAGCCAGCTTTTAATCAATTTAACGTGTACCACGTTAATATATCTTTCTAGTTTTTTAATCAAAGTGTCATGTGGTACTAAGTCAAATGCCTTACAGAAGTCTAAGTATATTACATCAACACTATTAGCTTAATTAACCAAACTTGTAATCTCAAATTTCAAATTCTGGGTTCTTTGTGTGGGGCTGGCAGTTGGAATTTTAACTTGTAAACTGTGCAAATCTCTTAAGACACAATGAAGCATTAGGACATTTTTACACAGCAACACTTCACAGTGAAATTACACTTTAACGTCTAGTTTTAATAAGTATTGAACTTATGTCTGGGTATGTGGTGCTAACAAACAAATGCGTTTTATTATTACATTCTTTCCTGTAAGAAATACTATAATGTAAACAAAACGAAAAGTACATGACACCATTATTCATAAAGATAATTTCCCTGGATAACACACCTCATACCTCAATTGTAACCTCTCAAATGTCACATTAACCTATCGTATATGAGTATGTTTAATTTTATCCACATACTGTGAAGGCAAACTTAGCAGAAAAAGTTACAGCATAATAGGGCTTGAGGTCAAAGTTGTAGTGTGATATAGCAAGCAGCTGGCAAGGGCATGTAATGAACAGCAGCCTGAAAGGCCTAATTCTTTATCAGGTGGCTTGACAGTAACATCGTCTTGAAAAGCAAAATGCTAGACACAAGCTGAATACCTTACCCATAAGCCCCGTTGCTGATTAGCTTAATGTTTTCAAAGTCCTCTTCAGAGGGAGCTTTCTTTGACTGCGCAGGGGCCCCGCGACTCTGAAAATCAAGGAGAAGGGATTTTTTTTTTCCTCTGCAGTTCACCAGAATCTAGCCTACTTTTAAAAAATGTACTTCCAAAAAATTCGCTGCTGGGTAGAAAATATGAAAATCTTAATTTTAGTCCTGAATTTACAGAAAAACAAAACAAAAAAATCTATTTTCCTGGATTTTTTGTTTTGTAACTGGAAGATCTGTATGTATATGTCTCAAATATTTGGTGGTATAATATATTTTATATTTACTCCTTTCCCTTGACATACTATAACTAAGAAATGGTTGCCACATTTAAACCACTGTCATACTGAAATCTTCCATTTAATTCTTCATACTAAATACATTACATTTTGATTTCTGTTAGATCATAGATCCACTCTCCTTCTCTGGTAGCCTTCTAATATCCTTCTGTTGTGTAATGAATGATGTTTGTTTTTTAAACTACCATGGAACTCAGAGAAGCCTTTGCACATTGACTTTCTGATAATGCTCAATAGCCTGCCAGGACCCACAGTATTGAATAAGTTGAAATATTTCTAATAACAATATACGTTATGCATTTTGAGTTACTTCCACCCAAGGAGCTCAAAACTGACAGACACTGAGGCAGACACACCAGGTGACTTGCTCAAAGTTACTCAGGAGGTCTGTGGCAGAAATGGGAACAAAATCCAGATCTTCTGAGTCCCAGGGTCATCCTTCCTCCCTGTTTTATTCTTATACTAATCAGGATATTAGCTGAGAAATGTTGAGTTCCTCAGCAACTGCAAGTCATGTTTGTATTCTCCCATTTTCATTGAGCACTTCCAGCAGAGATTATTTTGTACTGTTTGCAGTCATACTACAGACAAGCATAATTTACTTTCTGCTGTGGACTACGGTGGGATTTTCAAAGTTCCTAAATTATTTAGAAGTCAGTGGGACTTATGTTCCTAAATTACTCAGGGCCAAATCTACAAAAATACTTAGGTATTGCAATGCCTAACCCCGAGGTGCCTTGCCACCTAGTGGAATCCAATCCTCAGCCCTGAGTTATGCACCTAGGCTCCCCATTCAATACATGGGGAGAGTTACCTGCCTCAGAAGCCAGCCAGCGGATCGGGGAGCTGCCTTAAGCTAGCCAGGAGTGAAATACAGAGGAAAGGTGCCTAACTGATGGGCCAGAGAGAGGCACCTCCTTCTGCTCGGGATTTTCAGCTGTGAACCCCTTTTCTGGAGTTAGGCACCTACGCCAAGTCAGCCACTCTGGTAGCCTGCACTCTTGAAGCTGAAACCCAGCTCTTTCACAAGAGAGAGAGACCCCAATGTCATTATACCCAACAGCTCGGTGGCTAGGGCATTCACCAGGGATACAGGAGATCTGGGTTCAAGTCCCTGCTCTGGACCAGGGATTTGAATCCACATCTCCTGGAGTGCCCTAACCATTAGGCCAGGGGACACATATTCACACACACACAAATTCCTGACCTGTATTCTTTTGTGACAGGTATTGTGTCTTGGGCAGACTCTGAGAATGCCTATGGGATCAGGCTCTGCCGGTGAGACATGCAGGGGAAAGTCTAGTTTGAGAATCCCGTTGCTTTGGCTTTGGCTTCAGCCAGGGCTCTGAGTAGTTTGTTAGCTGTGGAGGCAGCATCAATGCTTAGGTGGCTTTGCATGTGCCTACTGATGGAAACTTAGGCACCTTGAGGACTTGGGCACCTGTGGGGTTAGGTGGCAGCTGAGCAGTGGTTTTAAGGATGTCAAGGGCACATAAGTGGTGGATTTAGCTGCCTAAGTACCTTGGAGAATCTAGCACATAGGCACTTTTGAAAATTCCACCTCGCATCGACATGTAGTTTGCATCCCTAGGAGCCCTGGAGCTTCCCCCGTCACCCCACCCCCAAAAGTTGGTCTTTCCCTAATAGATCTTTTAAATAAATTGGCATTTTTGTTACACAATCAAAGTGAAACCTACAGATCTATGAAGCCTGGAGAGATAAATGACTACATTTACCCAACAAATCATTAGTAAATCCTTGTCTTGGGAACCTAAATTCACTCCCCAAGATTCTTTACCTGTGCCAACACATTTCTTTCCTTAGCCCCATTTTTGTTAATGGTTGTAAAAAAAAAAAAAAACGTTGTCAACTTTCTTGCTAATTCCTGTCCATATCCATTTGCCTCTATTAGTTGGCGTTATCTTTAAATCATTACTTCTTTACAGTATTTATAGAGCTATGTCCAAGTTTCTATAAGCATGCAAGTTAGCTTTGAAAAGTATTTTTAAATCATTTACCAAATAAATGTTGTTAAAAATATTCAGTGTGTTATAATATATATTGTATTATAATCTTGTTTTCCTAACAAATCTTTTACCATTGTATTAGACTGTTTCTTTCTAGGGAAGAAATAGGTAGACAGCACAAGTATATTGCTTCTTTACCTCAACTGAATCATCTGTTTCTGGAGTGTCTGGACTGTCATAGCTATTCAGCTGGGCCATTTCTGCAAATAACAAAGAACAACTATTTATACCGGTCTCAATATATAATTAATCTGTTTCTATAGGGCAAAGAAACAGCATTTTAGAAAGTATTTGTAGATGTTAGAAAAGCACATTTCTTCCTTTCCTGCAAAAAATGTTATACTATTACACAATAGTCACCTCTAAAATCTTGCCAGCTGTTTTAGATAATGCCTCATATAAAGACAACCAATTATCCTTACCTCAGTATTTTGTAGCATTCTAGATATTCCCTACAACAAGGATAAGGAATAAATGCAAATACTAAGGTAATGCTATTAATATTTCTCCAGCAAAATCAGCAATTTGTTAAGGGTAAGCAGCAGGTGTTCGCACATTTATGTCCATGCAGGTATACTCGTCCCATTAGGGCATGGAAATTAGATTTCTAAAAATTTTCTTGTCTCTAGTTGGCCCAATTCTGCAAGGTACCAAGCACCCTCAAACAATGGGGAAGTTAGTGGGAGTTTAGCATGCTCAGCTCCTTTCAGGAGTTGCTAAGCACCTCACAGGATCAATCCCACATCCAAAAGGCAACAGGCTAGAAGCGTATTGGTATCTAAAAGAAATCTCTAAATGGACATTTCTACAGTTCCATTTCGTAGAAAGAAAATGAGGCACCTTGACACCTTTACACAATTTTTTATAGGGAATAAGTAAATGAAAGGTTCTCTCCCTCCCTGACAGGGATCAACGGAAACGTCACTTTATATCAGATTTCAACAGATACAATTAATTAAATTGCATTCAGTAACCTCTGGTGAACATTTTGCTAAAAAGCTGTTCGTCTGATGTTGCTTGCCAACCTGTCACTCTGTAATTCTGACAAATATTGCAGAAATTAAGGTAAAACTGCTTCCACAAGAGAAAAAGAAAACCAAAGTTCAATTGCTGCCAAATTCTGTGGTAACTTCCAGTCTCTGTGGCAGGTTTTATTGTTGCTGAGCCAAGCATGGAAGCAAAATTTGTGCCAATAAATATCTCAAAAGAAAAGAGATTAAACGAGATTAACAAAACACGGAGATGAAATATTTAATTGTGCAATAACTCACTGATTTCAAAGTTTAGATTTTCTGGGGCTCTGCGCCCAGGAGCATATTAGAAAGCACATGAATTTTACCATGTAGTACACTGAGGTCTAGAAGGGCTGCCAGACCTGCTCAGTCTCTTCCAGATCACCCTTGAGGAATGGGGCAGGGGATAGATTAAGAGCATGTGCTGGACAGAGATGGCTGGTAAGGGGCCAATGGGGACGGCGGGTAGCCGCGGCCAGCACATCCCTCGGCCCGTGCCGCTTCCCGCCGCCCCCATTGGCCCGGGACGGCGAACCGCAGCGAGTGGGGGCCGCGATCGGCCGAACCTGCCGTGACAGCAGGTAAATAAACTGGCCCGGCCCGCTAGGGTGCTTACCCTGGCGAGCCGCGTGCCGAACGTTGCCGACCCCTGGTATAGACTATACCTATCATATGAATTTATAATGACTGACTGACATCACATTTAGCAAATACTCATTCTAAGTATACCTATTAAAAATAACCCAAATGTCTACACTATTCATTGGAGGGTTAACAAATGCTTCATACAACATGGCAACGCTGTTGCAGTCTGTAGTGCTCTGAGTTACCCAATAAGGGAACAAAACACCTTCCCACTCTCAAACTTCCCCCATCCTCTAACCTCTCTCTCCTGTCTCTCCCACTGCATCCTGTCACCCCTGTGGTTATCATGGAGACTGTAGGTTCTTTGGGCAGGAATTGTCTGTACTTTTTTGCCTTGTATAGCAGAGAACATATTGTTAATGCTACAAAAATGATAATAGTCCTGGCCCCTCATGCAAAGCTTGAGTAAACAAACTTTGCTCCTTAGGGGACCAACACAAAAGCTAGGATAACAGACTCCTCTCCAACTCCCAAACCGGTTAGTCTGTGTCTGTTAATACAGTCTCTTCAGTGAAGCAGCATCTGCGGACTCCTGCACTACTCAGTCCAAAATGCAGGGATTGTGGCCAATTGATCCACTCAGACAATGACCCTGCAACTCCCCTGCACCTATACACAGACTCTATGGCTTTGCAGCATTCATGGTAGGGGGCTTCGGAATGCCCTTATGAGGTCCCTCTGTGTAGTGGAACTGTGCTGCAAAATGGGCCTTTTTATGGCTACTCCACACCACAGGGATTTCACCACAGAGTGCTTAGAACAGATTAATTAATCCAGAAATATGACTGTTCCATGGAGCAGGCAAGAGCATTAAGTGTAGCAAAGGAGAATTCTGCTATCTGTACAGTGGGTTTTACTCATAACAGGGCTTGTCACTGCACACACCCACTAATCTCATGGAGAATACTGCAGAAAGTCAGGAAACATTCCAAAGAACCAGATCCCAACTTTCTGAGCAAAGGCAACAGTAAAAATAAAACAAATAGATTGTCTGAGTTGGCAGAGAAGTAGTAAAATATAACCATATTCAAAGGACAATGTCAATGTAAAATCCAAAAGTCAGGTTCAGTTGTTTTTTTTTAATAAAGGCTAACAAAACCTAATAGGAATTCAATTTAAAGTATTGTTCTTGAAATTTCAATGAAAATTTTGATCTTAAACATTCCTGTATTGTGCAGGAAACCTCAACAACGGAGCATTTGGCAGTGCCTTTGAATCACCAAGTGGACCTGCTATAAACAGCAGATTACAAACAAAAACAAAACTGAGCAGTCTAGTTTCACTGTCAAACACCAGAGCATAAATGGTTAAAAAGTAACACAGAAAGTAACAGGTAATTAGAGGGGGAAAGGACAGTTTACATTTTGAGAACAGCAATAGAGGACGAGGAAAAAAGAGGCATGTGAATTAAAGGGGAAAAAATTCTCATTTAACAGAGCAACGACCAGTGAAGATGGCTCATATTTCATATTTGGAAAGGCTTTTAGCCCAAAGGATGCAAAGTAAGAAGTTCTCACCCTCCAGGGGATCCCGGGTAAGGCCCAGCTGGCTGATAATGTAACGAGGAATGTCGCATTTAATTCCTTGCCCTTCCTTGGCATGACCTTCGGCAGCTTCTAACAGATGGTAGAACTCTTCGGGATCAAACTCCTAAAGGAAGAAAAGAAAGAGTAAGACCAGAGATCTGAGTGATTTGATTCCAAAATTAAAAGAGAATTTGTTGTTGTTTTAATGCCCACAGAGAAGGAGGGGAAAAGCATGGTTATTGTTAAGCTTTAACATCTAGCCTGCTCCAATATATCCAAAACTGATTCCAAGGCCCAATGATGCTGCAAAACACCTACAGTCACAAGTATATCAACATGATGCACACAGTCTCCTGCTCTAGAAAAATGTAAACCATTAGATGTATTCAGAAACTGTGCTGGATGTCCATATCCTCGGATCAGCTGGCCTTGCCAATGAACAGAGACAACAGGGATGGTAAGAAAACATTTTATAAAACAAAAGTTGGCAGTAGGGGATTTATGCAGTAGGTCATGATACCTCAAATATTTAGCTTGCCCAAAGTTCTTATGCTGTTACAATCCATGATGTACACTATAGAAACAGAAGTTTTGAGGTGAGGACCTATGTGAAGTTTTCTGCCATCTCAGCATGGTAGAAAGATGAATTAAGCCACTCAACAGCAAGCTCCCATCAAACTTAATTAGCTGAGCAAAACATTCTATAAAGGCAGTAATCTTGCTTCAAACCATGTTGCATGCAGTTACGAATTTCAGTATCACAGAAGATTTAATTTCTGTTTGTCAAACTGCTCTAAACTATTAACCTGTCAGTGGTGACTAGGACCACTTGATAGGTCAGGCAGGATGCACATGCTTCAGCTAAAATAGTGTTGCTAAAGTACCTTTAACTCTGATCTGCAAACCTCGTTGTTTACCAGTGCTGGACTCCTGTGCAGAGACTACCAAATTATTTTGAACTGAGTAATAGTTTTGTACAGTGGATCAGTGACTGACATCAAACAGCACAATTTACCTGAAAGAGTGGTTAGCAAGACAGGAGATGACCAAAAAAAATCAAACAAACCCAAAAATAAATACAATCATAAAAACCAAGAGAGAAGAGAAAGTAGGAGGAGGAAAAGGGTGCTTTTAAAATTGTTAGCACCTTGGAGCAAAGACCACTTCTTTGTTGTATAATCCATTCGGTGATGAGCTCAAAGTCAGCACTAAGCAAATAATAGGCAATATTGCCAAAGGCAGCAACGAGTGAAGGAGATGAGAAGTGCCTCTGACTTGGCTAGGAAGAAGTCATTAGTGATCTTAGTAAGAGCAGCAGACAGGAACTAGATCAGAGGGGGAGTTGGTGGAGACAAAGTCTACGAACTGTGAGGCTCAGACACAGGGAAGTAGTAGGAAAAGGCTAGTGGGGCAGGTGGAGTGGGCAGTAGGGAAGGATTTTTTTTCAAGATAAGACTGACTTACTGGGGGAGAGAAAGCAGCCAGTGGATAGATAATAGTTAAAGATAACAGACAAGGAAAAGATGGAAGAAGGAACGGGGAAGAGAGGTGGAATCAATAGAGCTGTACTAATCTTTTTAGTAGAAAATACTTTTAAGAGAGCCTCTAAATGTAGTTTTACATAACCGAATGGAATAGCCTCCTGCAGCAGTGTTCCAGTCTGCAATAAAATACCACTGTCAAAAACCACTGTTAAATTGCACATTTTCCCCAAGAGACGGTCTCATTGGTAAATAACACACATTTGAAAAATGTGTCTACTTAACGTATTCACCTGAGAGCCCGAATTGCTGCCTTCAAAGCCCAAATGCTCAGCCCTTAATAAACATTTTACAATCTGGTAGGTAAGACTTAAACATTAAATAACCAAACTTGTATAAAACAATTAAAACCCTTTACGCCCATTACTCCAATTTCCTCACCTGACCTACATGCTCAGTCATTTCATTTTGTATTGAAGAAGCAGGAGTCATATGAGTGGCTGGATATAGCATTTGTTTCATATGAAACAATTTTAGTACATTTTGTATAATTTAACAGCACATCTGGTCTGATGAAAGCACAGCAAAATTAAAGGTTAAGTTATAAAAATGGGTGAATTCACATGCTCCGAAGTGTAAGAGAAAACTGACAGCCAAACTATTACAATGGAAAGCTGTCTATTAGGATCCTCTTGCTCTCATATACAGTATCAGATGGAACGCTAGCACTGATGGCACTATGGTCAGTAGAATAAGATAAATAACTTTTTTTAAATGGTTAGGCAGATAGAGTGCTTTAAAAAACACAGAGAATACTAAAATAGTGATCTGTACAGTATTTATATACTTTGGGGTCTTGCCACTTTGTTTTCAGGGCTGTCACTACAAGCTTTGGAGTTCGTTACTCAAATCTCAGAGACTCTATTGCCTCCACCTGCTCCCATGCTTGTCTCAGACGGACAGGTGGGGCAGCTAGCACAGGAACATTAATTTGCAGCTAATGGCACGTATGATTTAGGAAGTGCTTCCAAGAGGAATACCACACTATAGAGAGGGCATTAAACTTTGGCAAATGCTCTCTTCCCCTTCTACCGTGATGTGTGCTATTCTAGTGACACATGTATCAATTTCAGTATTAAGCAAAGTAAGCCCCACGAGATTCATAGCAATCTATTTCAGTTTAGTTTTGCTTTTTCAATCCCAATTTCAACTTGTGGGGAAGATTTTCAAGTAAATTGTTAAAATTAATGACAGTCACTCAATACGGCAAAATCCCCATGGCCGCTTTGAAAATTCACTGAGAGTTGAAAGACTCAATGCAGTAAATCACTGCCTTATACTCTCCATTTTATTAGTCAAGAAAACTCAGCTAGATTAAAATACAAACATATATTTTGTTGTCATAATTTTCCTCCTGGCAAAAAAAAGTCTTGTTGCACTGAGCTGTTCACCTTCTGAAAAAAGCTTCACACAGCTAGTTTGTCTTCCAACAGCTCACATGCTGAAACTCACTCCTTGTTGGTACAATCTCATATTAACTTCTGAAAGTTTGCTTCTTACAGGAGCTGTGCCACTGCCTAGCTCTAAGCACGATCATACCAACATTGATCTAGCTGCAATAATGCCTGAAAAAGAGGCAGCTTTACTCCGCTCGATAGGTTCCAAGGCCAGAAGGGCCCATTAGAGCAGGGGTGGCCAACCTGAGCCTGAGAAGGAGCCAGAATTTACCAATGTACATTGTCAAAGAGCCACAGTTATACGTCAGCAGCCCCCTATCAGCTCCCGCCTGCTTCCAGTGCCTCCTGCCCACCTGCAGCCCCACCAATCAGCACCTCCCCGCACCTCTCGATCAGCTGTTTCATGGCATGCATGAGACTCAGGGGGAGGAGCAAAGGCATAGCAGGCTCAGGGAAGGGGGCGGGAAGGGGTGGAGTGGGGCCAGGCCCTGTGGCAGAGCCAGGGGTTGAGCAGTGAGCACCACCAGGCACATTGGAAAGTTGGCGCCTGTAGCTCCAGCCCCGGAGTCGGTGCCTATATAAGGAGCCGCATATTAACTTCTGAAGAGCCGCATGTGGCTCCGGAGCCGCAGGTTGGCCACCCCTGCATTAGAGCATCTAATCTGACCTCCTGTGTAACACGGAGTCAGATAATTTCATCCAGTGACTAGCCCTGTATTGAGCCCAATAACATGTTTCACTAAAGCATCTCTTCCAGAAAGACATCCAAGTCTGGATTTGAACTGAGATGGAGAATCTACCACTTCCGGTAGTTTGTTCCAACTGTTAATCATCCTCACTGTTAAATATATATGCTTTATTTCTCACTTGAATATTTTGGCTTCAACTCCACTGATTTTTGTTCTCCATTTCTCTGCTAGATTAAAGAGCCTTTAAATTCCTTGTATTTTCTCTCCACAGAGGTACCCATATACCACAATAAAATCACCTCTTGATCTTTTTGATAAACTAAACAGATTGAGCTCCTTAAGTCAGTCACTGAAAGGCATTTTCGCCAGCCCCTGAATCATTTTGGTGGCTCTTGTCTGCACGCTCTCCAATTTTTCAGCCTCGCTTTGTTTGATGTTTGAACACAGTATTGTATTCCAATACCAATCTCACTCAATGCCAGCTACAGAAATAAAATCACCTCCCCACTCCCCTTTTTGTACATCCAAGGATCATATTAGCCCCTTTCCCCACAATATTACACTGGTAGCTCATGTTCAGCTGTCTGTCCACTATGATCCCGAAATCCTTTTCAGAGTCACTGCTTTTCAAGACACTGAGTCCCCATTCTGCAGGTACGGCCTGCATTCTTTGTTCCTACTGTCCAGAACTAAGTGTAAAACTATGTCCTCTTACTAGTCTGAGTGGGTAGTTTAGAAAGTAATATATGACTTGCTCTTCAATATATTCAGGCTGTTCTGTACAGAATTTAATCTTGCTTACAGACTCCCTTGGGTTGTCCCCACCTGCACACGTCTAGTTCCACACTCAGAGAACGTGACAATTTTTTAAAAAATTCAGAGTACGTCTACACAGCAAAGAAAAACCCACGGCGGCCTGTGCCAGTTGAAGTGGGTTCACAGTGCTGTTTCATTGCTGTGTAGACTTCTGGGTTTGGGCTCTTGAGCCCTGAGGGGGGGAAAGGATCCCAGAGTTCGGGCTCCAGCCCAAGCCCAGAAGTCTACACAACAATGAAACTGTCCTGCAGCCCGAGCCCGAGTCAGCTGGCAGGGGCCAGTCACAGGTTTTCCTTTGCTGCGTAGACATACCCTCAGAGTCCAATTCTCATTTACACTAAGGATCCTTTAAGGAGGCTAGATCCTTTAAGCTGCGCTGGCAATTTATACCCACTTTATGGGCGCTACACGTCCAGAGAGGCCCTATGTGTCCTTATTTTGGATTTGGACCTATTCTTTCAAAAACGTATTTTCCCTGTAAGAATTGGTTCTTCTTCCTGTCTTGTGGACCCCATCAGGCACTTCAAAGCAGATACACTTTCTTCTGAGGATTGTGCTTACCAGGCACTCAAGCAGTCGAGCCGGTCGTGCAATGATGATCATCAGCTTTTTCACAAGCTGGGTAACAAAAGCCACCTCTGAGCTCTCTGATCGCTCGTGGGCCTGCGGAGAGCAAAACATCACGTTATTGTTCAAACAGTGAATCATCAAACACTAAACCTAGAGCAATCAGTTTGGTAACCATAATTCAGCCGTGAAGGCATGACCGAGTCAGGCTAAGCAATTAACAAAGATCATTCTGTGTTGCCAAATCATATACAGCTTTTCCAGTATAACTGATTCCCTTTTCCAGGCAATGAATATGCTAGAGGCCTTTTTTGTTATGAGTTACCTGAAAATCTCCCTTAGCCATGGTGGCTTTTTAATTTAAACGAAGATTTCTAGTCTAACTATTAGATGTTATCACTGGAACGGTTTTCCTTTCCAGGGTGCTGAATTCTAGAGAATGATGTAAAGTTTTAAAGTTTACTTCTACAGTTTCGCATGCATTTCCTGCTTATTACCATGGAAGATCTCAACGTGTATTTCTCTTCCAATTTCATTCTTCTTATTCTGCCAATCAAATTGTTAATACCTGATGTACAGTGCACAGAAGGAGAACACAAACTACATAGAAAATACTTTTGAGGTTGACAAATTTTATTCCTTTAGGACAATAGGTTTTTGCCATTTCACTATAAACTCAATGCTTAGTTTCATCGAGGTTTTCCTTTTCTTTTTATAAGAAAGAAAGCAACTAAACTAATGCCTGGAAAATATGAAGACAGATTCTGAGAGGTACAAAAAGACCATTTCCCTTCTTGCTTGCTCTGTGCTAGAATGGCTACAGCACAAGATCCAAAGCACATGTAAATAATACTTCACTATGCAGGTTGATAAGGGACTGTCAGCCTCCAGTTCTCTAAAGGTATTCAGAATAAACTGACAAAGTACCACTAAGATCTTGTAGACTATACATTCTGCTTTAGCCCAGCCACAGAAACAGAGTCCTGAACTGGCTGGGTGACAAACATTACCTCTGCGCTTTCAGTTGCCTGCAGGCATGATATTTTATCAACAAGGATTCAGGTGGCAAGAAACAGAGGTTCATTTAATAGTGTTCATTAAAACAAAACAAAAAAATCCATACACGTTTGAGAAAACAGACAGCGTTGATAGCCACTAAGGAAGGGTTTAGGGAAGCCTGGATTCTGAACTGGAAAACCATAAAGTACAATTTTAAAAAGGTATGTTCTCATAATTTCTTACTAAAGCTTTTTCTTTTGGAAAATAAGCTATTGCTTAATCTGGAATAGGTTATTATTGTTTAACAGGTCATGTAATAATACAGTGTTAGAATTTTAACCTAAAACAAAAGGACTTATCTATAGAACTACTGATACGTCAACCAAAGAGAACACAGGAGATGCTTTGTGGGTATATTACAAATGAAAGTCACAGAGAATAACATTTTGAAACCCATAACTACTTGACAGATTTTTAATAGAATGTATTTCAAAGCTAATTACTAAATAGTAAACAGACAATTATCTGACTGGGGACACTTTGTATTCTCTCCTCTGTGCGCCACAGTACAACACCCAGTTAAAGTAATGAGACAAAGCATGAATTTTGGATAAAATTTCAGTGTCTTCATATTCAAAAGGATTTTTATAGATCATCATAGGTTATCTATATTTAAATAACTAAAACATTAACCACAGTGTATTATTTCTGATACAAGAGCCATGCAAATGGAATGTCAATTTACTTCCAGATAATGTAAATTATGTAGAAAAAAACTATTTATCCTTTTGCATCTATATTTATATTGTCACAGGCAATTTATTATTATAAATCAAGTTGTATTGTTTTCATTCTTTCTAATTCACTAAGAAGACACAGACAAAATATTCTTAAAAATATAACTGATTCAAATCAGGTGTTCTGTTCTGAAAATGAAACACTAACTCATGTCTGTCAAATGATAAAGACAGGCTAAAAAAAAGATTGAGAACTACAGGATTACAAAAATCAAACACAACTTGTAAGAGCCACTCAGCCATAATCTCTGCACAGCGCTGTTGTTCCAAGATCCTCAGTAAAATTGCTTCTTCTTGTTTCCTTCTCTCACAGGATAGTCCAGACATCTCTACAGATGTCTTGTTTACAATCTGCCCCAGTTATAGTAGCTCAAAATCACAGACTTATATACCAAACAACTGCCTGCTTCTACCATGCGCCTTGGTATGATGCATGCCATCTAATTAGCAGTTCTCAATGACGACATGCTTGTCTGAAGGTTGCTGGTGTCATTTCAGGGTTTTTGTTTTGTTTTTCTTGAGGGGAGGGGAGCGTAGGGGTTACGGGTGGAGGCTGATGCCATTCCTGTACACACCAAGCTATTTCCAGTGACACATGTATAGGAGGTAGCGATGGGTAATTTACAAAGCGATTCCCTTATCTGAAAGACCCATCCGTCACTAACTGTAGCCACTGAGGCATGAAATTAAAATCACCGTCCTCCCCTGGGGTTCAGCAGGACCAATGACTGGAATATGCAAGTCACAACACTGTAATTGAGCTAATATACTGATACGAACCAAAACAGCAGAGCTGCAGTGCCAAGAACCAATACATTTCACTTATGCATTAATTAAGAAAGCAATTCCAATTTTCAAGTGGACAATATAAAATCAGCATAATATAATCGTAATAAGGCCTCTTTTTCTTTGTTTCATTTACAGATACACCTGTATATCCCTCATCTTTCTTTCCATCAGAAAATCTGACTAATGGTGTAAATATACAATATTGCCAATTCAACTCATTTTGCCTGGTTAGTCATTGCGTCAGCGCAATAACTGACTAATCTTTTGTTCTGAACTCTGTTTCTACTTTGTTTCATGAGGTAAAAGATAAAGAAATCAATACTACTGCTCCATATAAGAAGGCTTTTACTTTATTTTCTAATATTCTGACTTCAAACTTTAAGCTTCTCATGAAAGTTATGTCTAAAAAATTATTTTGAATTCATGCCTACTTCAGGAAGTCCACCTGATAAATCCAATTATTTAATAAACCAAATACTTCCTGGCTAAAATATGACACTTTATACTTACATACAAGTGAATTAATCTTACTTGCTATGGTAACATTTTGGTATTTTATAACAAGATTTGGTATTTAAGTGCCTCTAAGTTTTCTGTCTTGCTATATCCACGTCAGCTATGTCTGAATATTTGATTCTTTATATTGTACTTACTCTTTGTTTTATGATGAAGTTTTTGTACAATTTGAACCGTCTTTAAAGTTTAATATTTTCTTTTCCCTATGACTTGAAATTCCGGCTTTAAAAAAAATCTGATTATCCAGGGGTTTGTTTTAAATGTACTTTATCCTTTAAAATATTCTTCCTTTAAAAGAACAGATTTTGCTAAGCTACGTACCATCCACACTTCCACCATTCCTGTCATTCACTGACCTTCTGCAGACTAATTTCCTTATTCTGTGATAAAGACATTTGGTTCCCTGATGCTGCTACAGTTTATGCAAATACTGTAGATAAACAATGGACTATATTGCTGTTCCATACTGCAGCAGTGAGTGTGATTTAAAATAGTCCTCATTGTATCTATTATTTTTATATAGTGCTATAAATGTGCACAGCATCTTAAAAACTAACCAAAGGTGAGTACCCTGCTCCCAAGAGCTCATGGTCTAAACATAGTAACGGATGTCTTGAAGTATTCTCACATGTTAGTAGCTCAGTTCTGTGTCTCTGACAGAAATCACATTGACATGTCTTTGCATTTAATCTGAAATATCCTGAATGTGTCCTTTCATAGTTTGGGGTGCATCTAAGGGAGAATGGAAAAGAAAAGGTAGGGAAGAAAGGGATTCATACGCATTCAAAAAGCAACGAAAAAGAGAAGACACAGGAGTGAGAGGAGAGAGTAAAGCAAGAGGAAGAGAGGTGGAAAGAAAAGTGTCTGGTATTTTCTCAGCTTCTCTCTAACCTCCTCGTCCTCTCCCCACTGTTCAGTCCTTTCCCTCCTAAAGATGCATCTTGCTTCAGGTTTATGCCTCAGCTCTTGAAAGGGATAACCTCAAGAAAGGGGTCCTTGGCGACAAGTCATCGGAACCAGCATGCATTCTTGCAAACAGTAAACCTCCAGGCAGTACTATTATTATTATTATTTATTATTTTATTATTGTGCTAGCACCGAACCAATCTTCTCTCTCCCTCTTCTTGTCCTCATTTCTCCTTTAGGTAACGGGTGGGCTAGAGTCAATTTAAGAAAATCAATTAAAATTATGAAGAATCGACTTGCCCATCCCACCCTGACCCTGCGGAAGAAGCTAAAGGAGAGGGGGCAGGGCAGTTCCTGACTGTCAATTACTGTAGAAGCGTGGAGATGATTGCCGTACCTTACACAGTAACCGTTCAATGTCAGCTCTCCTTGTGCTTGAAGAGAGAGGTAAAGGGGAAGGCTCTTTTGGAAGCATCGCTGAATGGAGTAAAGGGAAGAAATGGGAGATGTGTCTGACCAGCCACTCTCTCCTCCCAGGGTAGGGTCGACCTCCCCAGATCTGAGGGTGAGCTTGAAGGTGGGGAGAGGAAAAAGGTCAGACTCCGTTTATTTCCCCCAGCCCCAAACTTTGACAGTACAACGAAGGGCTGCTCTACTAGGGAGGAGAAAAGCTGCATGTGGGAGAATTCGAAGCCCAGGTGGGCAGCGTCTAGAGACAGCAAGGCTAGTTATAGTTCTCCCCGCTGCTCCTTGAAATCTGAGGTATTGCGGGGATACGTGCTTGCCTCAAACATGATCTCTGTCTGCCAATCTATCACTTTGTGGAGACAGGGGCACGGGTGTCTTCTCCCTGACTCCAAGAGGAGGGTGAGGTTTTTTTTGTTTTTTGCTGCGGGGAGGAGGGTTTGCCCTGTTTTCTTTCTTTCTACTCTTTTTTCCCCCCAAACTACCTCAGAACTATGCAGGTGGGGAATGCTGGATCATGATCCTCATGCCCAGCTGTCTGCAGGAGCTGGGCTGCCTTCCAGTTCCTCCCCAGTGCTGTTGCTAGAAGGGAACCCTAGGAATATCCTCTCAAATGTTATAGTA